GCAGGCATATAGGTCTGGGGCTTCTTTTAAGTTCTGACAGTGGTAAATAAGTTCTTTGATATTTTAATTGCTTATGTTTACATTTGACTTATAAATAAGAAAAGTACAGTGAAAAAATCTAAGTCACCAGAAATAAAAATTATGCTGGACAGTGATTATAAACATAGTGACCAAGTTAATTTAAGCATACATCTTTTAATCCAGAGTTACTACATATCTTTGTTCCTGTGTGCTACATACCTGTCTTAAGTGAATTTCAATCTCCTGTTTCTACTATAATGACTTCACACCATTTCCCTTCTCCAGTTCCCTTTCCACTGCCCCCATACATTTTATAGAATAGTAACAGTTAACATTAAGCATTGCTAGGCATTAATATGTGTGATGATAATTCATACAACAATTCTATGAAAAAGGTATTATCTCCTTTTAACATCTGAGAAAAAGTTCTGAAAGGATAGTAATTGGCCTATGAAAAATCTAGACATTTAAAAATGTTGGAAAGAACAGGGAATTAATAAATCATGGTGCATACAGAAAGGTTCTCTGTAAATGTTAAGAATGATGATGGATTTATTTCTGCATATACAGTCAACTAGTTTTTTACTAAGTGACCAAGAATGCAATGAGGAATGGATAATCTCTTTAAAAAAATGGTATTGGGGAAACTGGTTACCCATATACAAAAGATTAAAATTAGATCTTTATCTTATACCATACTCCAAAATTAATGCAGAATGTATTAGACTTTCATTTGGACCTGGAATCATTAAACTCCTATAAGAAAACATAGGGAATAAGCTCACTAAAATTGGTCTTGGCAATGATTTTTGTATTTGACACCAAAGCACAGGCAACATAAAGCAAAAATAAACAAATGGAACTACAACAAACTAAAAAGCTTCTGCACAGCAAAGGAATCAATCAACAAAATTAAAGGCAATCTATGAAATGGGAGAAAATATTAACCCCTTACCAGATACATAAAATATGATTCTACATATCTGGTAAGGGAGTAATGTCCAAAATATATAAGGAACTAATGTAACTTAATGGCAAAAAAAAAGCACAATAACAAAAATGGGCAAAGGACCCAAATAAACATTTTTCCAAAGAAGATATACAAATGGCCAGCAAGTACATGAAAAGTGCTCAACATCATTAATTATAAGGGAAATGAAAATCAAAACCACAAAAATGTCAATGAGTTATCACCTCACACCTGTTAGGATGGCTGTTATCAAAAAGGCAAAAGATATCTGTTGGTGAGGACATGGAGAAATGGAAACCCTTGTACGCTTTTGGTCAATATATGAATTGGTACAGGCATTAAGGAAAACAGTATGTAGTGTTCTCAAAAAATTAAAAATAGAACTGCTATATGACCTCACTTCTGCCTATATATTCCAAAGAAATGAAATCAGGATCTCAAACTTATCTGCATGCCCATCTTCATTGCAGCATTATTTACAGTAGCCAAGATATGGAAAAACCTTAGTGTCTGTAGATGGGTAAAGAAAACACACACACACACACACACACACACACACATCCAATGGAATGTTATTCAGCATTAAAAACAAAGAAAATCCTGCCATTTACAAAAACATAGCTGAACCTGCAGGACATTATGCTAACTGAAATAAGCCAGACACAGAAAAACAAATATTGTATGATCTAACTTACATGTAGACTATAGTAAGTTGAACTCACAGTGACAGAATGGTGGTGATGAGTGGCTGGGGAGTGGGGGGAAAGGGAGATATTGATCAAGAGGTATAAACTTTCAGTTATAAGGGTAAGTGCTGAAGACCTAATGTAAAGCGTGGTAACTTATAGTTAATGTATACTTGAAATTTGCAGAGACCTCAAGTATTTTCACCACACACACACGATAACACATAAGGTGATGAATATGTTAATTAGCTTGATTGTAGTAATCATTTCACAATGTATAAATATATGAAAACATCACACTGTACACCTTTATACATACAGTGTTGTCAGTCACAACTCAGTAAAGCTGGGGAGGAAGAAAAAGACTGATGGGGGAAAATGTGTAATAAGTAGGTCACAAAACCGTCAGCATAAGAATACAGTCATTGTCAAAACACTGATATACCAAATTGTTAACAGTGATTGCATCTGAAATCAATTATGTGTCAGCTTCTTTCTGAAGGGTATGATGAATATGGATGGGAACACCAGTGGCATGCCTGAGATATAGTAAGGAAGTAACTTGACAAAAGCAAATACTTAAATGTTATTTTTTTATTATGAAGTAGTTTAAATATACAGAAAGATATAGAGAATAAGAACCTACCTATAAACCAACAACCAGCTTTATCAATTTATAAGAATTGGCCATGTTTGCTTATTTTTTAAAGAAGTGAGTGATTAACAGATATCTCCTTTTGCATCCTTTTCTCAAGCTCATTTTTCTCCCCCTCCAGAGGTCACCACTGTTTTGGATTTAATTATTATTTCCATGAATGTTGTTATACTCAATCTATATGGTATTTAGCCATGGAAAATACACATAGCATCAATTTGCATATTTTCAAACTTTATATAAATGGTACCATATAATACAAAATACTGTCTAGTTCAATTTCATTAATATTGTTTTAAGATTTATCCATGCTGACAGAAATATCTCTACTTCATTCTTTTTAACTTGGGATCTAACTTCTATTCACCCTAATGGTTATTTTGATTGCTTTAAGCTTTTCATTCTTAAATAATACTGAAATAGACTTTCATGTATACTTCTCTAGACACATGAAGAGAGGAGAGACTATAAGAGGTTTAAGTGTGGAACTGCTGGGTCAGAGTATATGCATTTTCAACTTTACTAGATATTGCTAAATTATCCTAAATACAACTACTTCCAATAGCACTGTATGAACATTCGTACTGCTCCACATCTTTCCAGTAATTGGTACTATGATGCTTTTGCCAATGTAATGATTTTGAAATAGTTCACTATGATTTTATTTGCTTTTCCCTTACTGTAATGGATATAAACAATGATTCTAATAACCCCAAATGCATCTTTTCTCTATGGGTCTAAGCCATCTTAATCATATGCAGAATTTCTAGAAATAGGTCAGACTCGACAGCTGTCTTGCTTAAGAGTTCACACTTCATAGATGAATTTAGAACAAAGCTGTGAAATTAAAAGGAAAAAAGACCTGAGGAATTTTGGTTCTAATTGGAGTGAATTTGTGAATTAGGAATAGCTGACAACTTTTATTAGGCTGTCTCTTCAGCTTAGACCATATAATACTCCTCAGTTTATTATTTTTCATTTTGCTAGGTCTAGAAAATCTGTTGTTTTATATTTAAGTGTTAATGATTTTAGCCTTTGAAATTTAACTCCATGAAGACATAGTCTTAGTATTGATCACTATTGTCTCCTTGTGTCTAAAACCATGTCCAGCAAACGGTACTCAATATTCACTGAAGGAGAAATTATATATATATTATATATATATATAATATATATATTATATATATATATATATAAAATATATATATATATAGGAAACCCTATATATATTTGTCTGTAGCTTTTTACCCTTAATTCCTATTTGGTTTAAATTTTACAACCACTGGCTAAAACATTCACAAACTTTATACTTTTTCTGTGGTGTAGAACAATTTAAATGCTTCTTAAATTACTTAGATTCACCCATACAATTGCGTGGGCCTGGTATATTTTTATGGGACAGTATGAATTTCTATGTTTATTGGTTTTTTGGAGTTGTGATCCTCTATTCTTTTCTTGATCTAAATGTGAGTTCTGTATTCTTCTCAATCATCATTCTCCTTATATTGTTTATCCAATTCTCTTTAGAAACTTCCTAAAACTGGTTGTAGGTGTTAGTAGTTCTACTACTTGTTGTCTATCCTGATTACGTATCTAGAGTGCAAAGACTCCCATTTATGTTTCTAAAATTTTTAGGTTTTCTTAATTCTGACCTGCTGCTTCCCAGGGATGTTCTACTTTGTCCACTGAAGAATTTTGTTCTAGCTGTGGAGTAAGTAACTTAACATATGCTGAGTATGTAGAACAGTGCCTGGTGCAGAGTAGACACTCAATACACGTTAGCTATTATGATTTATTGAATATCTGCTATAATTGATGTGCTACGTGAAGCACTTTACATGCAAATTTATTCCTTTATATGCATCAGTCTACGACAGACACTATATCATTTAATAATCACAGTTCTACAATACAGTATCCTTTATTATCCCTATTTTAAGAATTAAAGAAAACCCTGAGGTTTAGATAAGTCAAACAAATTACTCAAAGTCGTACAATGCCACAGCAGTTGTAGAGCTGATTTTCCAGAATCTAAGCTCTTAGTCCTGGGAAGTGCCTAGTGCTCAGTGAAGGAGACTGGAATAAATAAGACTGAAAGGTATGTAAGAACCAGATAATGAAGCACCTCATAGACAATTTAAAGACTGAGGATGTTAGCTTAAGAAAATAATAAGCCAAAAAAGAAAAAAAGGTTTTAACTGGAGGCAGTGATGTATTCTTATACTCAAAAAAATCAGTTTGGGGGGCGCCTGGGTGGCGCAGTCGGTTAAGCGTCCGACTTCACCCAGGTCACGATCTCACGGTCTGTGAGTTTGAGCCCCGCGTCGGGCTCTGGGCTGATGGCTCAGAGCCTGGAGCCTGTTTCCGATTCTGTGTCTCCCTCTCTCTCTGCCCCTCCCCCATTCATGCTCTGTCTCTCTCTGTCCCAAAAAATAAATAAACATTGAAAAAAAAAATTTAAAAAAAAAAAAAAAAAAAAAAAAAAAAAAAAAAAAAAAAAAAAAATCAGTTTGGGGCATGGTGGGAATGAATTTAAGGGGATCAAAAGTTGATATAGGAAGACCTCTTGGAAAGCTACCGTATGGTGATTGAGGTGAGATGAATCTACGGTGACTTTAGAGATAGAAAAAAAAGAACATAAATTCTGGATATATTTATGAGATAGTGTCTAGAGAACTTGGTGATTGACTGGATTGGGTGGTGAGAGTGACTCCCCAAGATGGATTCTCTGATGATGAGCAAGGTGTGCATGCTGCCTGAAAGTTTTCTTGCATTCCTTACATTCATAGGGTCTCTCTCCAGTATGAATTCTCTGATGTTGGGCAAGGGATCCACAGTAACTGAAAGCCTTTCCACAAACGTTACATTCATAAGGCTTCTCTCCAGTATGAACTCTCTGATGCTGAGTAAGGGATGAGTCATTGCTAAAAGCCTTCCCACACTTAATACATTCATAGGGTTTCTCTCCAGTATGAACTCTTTGATGTTGGGCAAGGTAGGCAATCTGGCTGAATGCTTTCCTACATTCTTGACATTTATAAGGTTTTTCTCCAGTATGAATTCTCTGATGTTGAGCAAGATGTGAATTCTGGCTGAAAGCCTTCCCACATTCCTTACATTCATAGGGTCTCTCTCCAGTATGTATTCTCTGGTGTACAGTAAGGTATGCACGAAGGCTAAATGCTTTCCCACAGACATTACATTCATAAGGTTTCTCACCAGTATGAACTCTCTGGTGTTGAGCAATGGATGATCTATTGCTAAATGCTTTTCCACATTCAATACATTCATAAGGCTTCTCTCCAGTATGAACTCTCTGATGTTGAGCAAGGTAAGCAAACTGGCTAAAGGCTTTCCTACACACTTTGCATTCATAAGGTTTTTCTCCAGTATGAACTCTCAGATGCTGAACTAGGTGTGCATTCTGACTGAAGGCTTTCCTACATTCCTTACATTCATAGGGTTTCTCTCCAGTATGAATCCTCTGGTGTTGAACAAGATTTGATCTCTGGCTGAAGGCTTTTCCACATTCTACACATTTATATGGTTTCTCTCCAGTATGAATTCTTTGATGAAGAGTAAGAGATGAGCTCTGGCTAAAGACTTTTTCACAGTCATTACATTTCAAAAGTTTTTTCTCTGTATAGATACTCTTGGGCTTAATGGCCATTAAATTTTTTTTAAAGCTTTTCTTATGTGTATCATGTTTATGTACTTTCTCCTCTTTGGTGGTTATCTGTTGTGTATGAAGCAGTGTGTTCGGATGGAAATTTCCCCAAGATTTGTTATATTCTTGTGCTCTTTTATTAACAAGGGCTTCTTCATGAGTGATTGTCTCTTCCTTGAAACATGACTTCTGATTTACTGGCTGTGTCTCAAAATGGTCCTCACATTTCCATTCTTCTCTTAAACTGGAATACTCAAGGCCACAGCTTGTAAGTTTTTCTAGAATCTTCTGGGATGATTGTGCTTCATAAATATCTTGCTTTGAGGTTAATTCTTCAGTCTCACACCTAGATTCCCAGCCTGAAAAATAATTTAAAAACATGTCTCCTCTATGATGTACCAGAAGGAACATTTCTGAATTTACATTCATAAAGTGAAGTATGTGAATTTAATAACAAAACCCACAAGAACATTGGCTTTTGTAGTTCTGATGTTTGCAAGAAACTGAAAATAGATCATACAGAAACTTGAAGAGGAATGATTAGAAATTATAAGAAAATTAGTAAGGTAGGGGTGCCTGAGTAGCTCAGTCGGTTAAGCATCCAACTTCAGCTCAGGTCATGATCTCACGGTTTGTGAGGTCAAGCCCTTCATCAGGCTCTGTGCTGATAGCATGGAACCCACTTTGGATCCTCTGTCCCTGCCCCCCTCTCTGCCCCTCCCTCACACTTTCTCTCTCTCTCAAAATAAACATTTTTTTAAAAATCAGAAAGGTAAATCTCATGTCAATAAGGAATTATGGAGATGGATGGACTTGGTTATAATTTTATGCATGTATGAATAATACAAGCACTGAAATAACATCCATTATTATAGTTGTTTCTTGCAAGAATATTTATCAAACCTTGTGCCAAAGTCTTCTAATGCTTTTGATATTAAACAAAACAAAGATCCTTACCTTTATGGACCTTATATTCTTGGGGGAGATAGGAAATAAATGCTAAATGAGTAAATTTTATTATATGTTAGAAGGTACTAAGTGCTTCAGAAGAAGAAAATCAGGGTAAAAGAGATTAGGAATGTTGGTAAAGTCAGAGGTAGGAATAATTAATAAATTAACATTTAAGCAAAGATTTGAAATAAGTGAAGAAGTCAGTCACTTAGATATTGAGAAAGAGCATTGTGGGTGGAAGAAATAGCCTAAAAGTAGAAGCACATATGATATGTTTAGGGAATAGCAAGAAGGCCAGTGTGTCTGGAGAGGTGTTGTAGGAGATGAAGTCAGGAAATAAAAGATAAGATTATTTAAGGTTTATATACTTTCTAAGGAATTTGGTTCTTATCCTGAGTGGGATGGAAAGCCACTGAAGTGTCTGTGGAGTAGAGGAGTGATACTTATGTACAGTTCAATGAAAATACTGAATGGAGGCAAATATGGAAGAAGTAAGGGGACCTATGAATGTAGTAATCCAGGTGAAGATGATGAGGATCCAGACCAGAGAGCTATCAATGGAGGTATAGTGAGGTGGCCAGATTCTAGATGTATTTTGTAGGAAATGCCAAGAGGATATCCTGACAGATTGGATATGGAAAGTAACAGTAAAAAGAGATGAGCAAGCCTTCAAAGTTTATGTCCTGAGCAATAGAAGAATGGATTAGCCATCAACATTGATGGGAAAGGCCATGGGCACAGCAGGTTTAGGTGGGGATATATGTAAGATCTGGAGTTCAGTTTTGAACATAATAAACTTAAAGTGTTTTTAATTTTTATTTTTAAAAATATTTATTTATTTTGAAAGAGAGAGATGGCATGAGTGGGGGAGGGGCAGAAAGAGAGGGAGAGAATCCCAAGCAAGCTCCACACTGTCTGCACAGAGCCTGATCCAGAGCTCGAACTCACAAACTGCAAGATCATGACCCAAGCCGAAATTAAGAGTCAGATGCTTAACTGACAGCCACCCAGCCAAGTTGATTTTAGACATTGAAATGGAAATGCTGAGAAGGCAGTGTTATGGACCCATAAGACTGAATTTAAGATAGAAGTCTGGACTAGAGATTTTAAACTAGAAATTGCCAGCATATACATGGCAGTTAAAGAGAATACATTACCAAGAGAATGAGTATAAAGAGAAGAGAAAGGAGCAAGTAATGAGCCCCAGAGCACTCCAACATTAAGATATTTGGGAAAAGAGAACAAACCAAAAGAGATTAAGAAGGAACAAATGTAAACCTAAAAAATCATGGCTAAGAATATTAATATCACATGATATGAAATTAAATGTTGTAATGAAAATCAACTTGTTCTGGGGTGCCTGGGTGGTTCAGTCAGTTAAGTATCCAACTTCAGCTCAGGTCTTGATCTCACAGTCTGTGGGTTCAAGCCCCGCGTTGGGTTCTGTGCTGACAGCTCAGAGCTTGGAGCCTGCTACAGATTCTGTGTCTTCTCTCTCTGCCCCTACTCCACTCATGCTCTGTCCCTTTCCATCTCTCAAAAATGAATACATGTTAAAAAAAATTTTTTTGAAAATCAACTTGTTCAATGATTTATACTGAAAAAGATTAAAATACAGAATCACAAAACACACACAGTACTGGAATATTAGTCAAGAAATGTCACAAAAGTTATAATAACAGCAGCTAATAATAATGACCATTAAAAAGAATTGTGAATATGTTGTGACTTGCAAAACACCAGAAATGAATCATACCATAAATAAAAGGCAAATAGAATGTAGAAGCTATGTAGAAGAAGGGAGATTACTATACTATTTATACTTATTTTTTTCAAATAAGATTGTTATCATTTTGCAACTTCTGAATCAATTTTAAAAAGCAATAGAGGAAGGCATAAAGAAAATAACATCAGGAGATAACTAACATTGACAACAACAATGAAGAGGGAAAATACCCTAAAAATAAACTTTGCGAGAAATGAGCAAAAAGCTTTACAATTCTAATGAGGGACCTGCCCCCCCCCCTTAAATTTGAATAAAGGGAGAAGATGCATACTTTGTTTTTCTATATGAAGAACCAAAATGTAAAGCCATTAATTCTAAAATTAACCTATTACTTTCATTCAATTACAGTCAGAGCCTCATAGTGAATTTTTTAAAAAACTGGGTAATAAAGAATTTGGCAGGCTTTTGTCCATAGTTCCAAGAGGTAACCCTCTAACCACTCTAAGTTACTGGAAGGAGTATAATTGTGAGGCCCTTGGACCATACCTGATAGTTTAATATTTTATTTACTTTTGAGAGAGAGAGAGAGAGAGAGAGAGAGAGAGAGAGAGCACGAATGGGGGGAGGCAGGGGGCAGAGAGAGAGGGAGACATAGAATTTGAAGCAGGCTCCGGCCCTGAGCTTCAGCACAGAGCCTAATGCAGGGCTTGAACTCATGAGTTGTGAGATCATGACCTGAGCTAAAGTCAGACACTTAACTGACTGAGCCACCCAGGTGCCCCCATACTTGATAGTTTATAGCTATAGTTCATGACTCATGGCATGCCCCTAGATAGTTTTTGCTAATGTGATGACTTAGGATGGAGGCTAGCCATGCCAGAAAGACCAACCATGTGATTAAAGGGTTGGTGCTTTGAGCTATCATGGTATCAGTCTGGGAAGGGAAGGAGGCTGGAGACTGAATCACATTGGGCATTGGGCAATGATCCATTCAATCATACCTACCTAGTTAAACCAAAACACAAACAAACAAATAACTCTGTAACACTGAAGCTCTCTTGAAAGCTTATTCTTTTGAATATTGAGATGTCTGGAAGGCCCTTTCATGTTTGCAACTCTGCCAGACCTTGCCATTGGTGGCTGTGCTTTTGGCTGGTTCTTTGTTATCTTTTGCTACAATAAAACTGTAATCATAATATGGTTCTTTCCTGACCTCTGGAGGTCACTGTTGTGAGTTATCAAACCTGAGGGTGACTGTAGGCACCCTCTTATCTGTAGCCAGCTAGTCAAATGAGAGTGGCCCTGAAAATCCCCAAACTTGCAGAAACTATCTGAAATAAGCACAGTCTTGTGGAGCACCATTCTCTCAGATTTTTCAGTTTGGCAAACTGACTTCAAGAATTTTTTTTTAAAATCCTAAAGTTTATCAAAATAGTAAACATGTATCCAGGATAAGACTATATGCTGTCCATAAAACATGCATTAATAAATTAAAAAAATTTTTAATGTTTTTATTTATTTTTGAGAGAGACACAGAGCGTGATGGGGGAGGGGCAGAGAGAGACAGGGAGACACAGAATCTGAAGAAGGCTCCAGGCTCTGAGCTGTCAGCCCAGAGCCCAACATGGGGCTTGAAGCTGTGAATTGCGACATCATGACCTGAGCCGAAATTGGATGCTCAACCAACTGAGCCACCCAGGTGCCCCCGTGCATTAATAAATTTTAAAAGACTGAAACCATACAAATTATCTTTCTCAATCATAATGAAATGAAACTAGAAATCAATAGCAAAATAATACTGGAAAAATCCACAAATATGTGGAAATTAAACAACACACACTTAAACAACCAGTGGGTCAAAGAAGAAATCACAAGGTATCTTGAAACCAATGAAAAGAAAAATATAACATACCAAAAAGTATGGGATACATCAAAAGCAGTGCTAAAAGAGAAATGTAAAGCTGTTAATGCTTACATTAAAAAAGAAAGATTGCAAATCAACAACCTAACTTTACATGTGAACAAACTAGACAAAGAGCAAACTAAACCCAAAGCTAGGAAAAAGAATATACTGAAGTAGAGATCAACAAAATACATAGAAAAATAATAGAATCAACAAAACCAAGAGTTAGTTCTTCAAAAAGATTGACAAAACTGACAAACTTTTAGTTGGACTGACTAGGGGAAAAACAAGACTCAAGTAACTAAAATCAGAAATGACAGGGGCCACATTACTACCAATTATAGAGAAATAAAAAGGATTATAAGAGAGTAGTATGGACAACTGCATGCCGATAAATTGGATAAAACAGACAAATTCTAAGAAACACACAACCTTCTAAGACTGAATCATAAAGAAAGAAAACCTGAACAGACCCATAACTAGTAGGTTGACTGAATCTGTAATCCAAAACCTTCCAACAAATAAAGGCCTAAGACCAGATAGTGTCTGTGGTGAATTCTATCACAGGTTTAAGAATTCACATAATCCTCCTCAAACTCTTCCAAAGAAATGAAGAGGAGTGAAGACTTCCAAACTCATTCTATGTGGCCAGCATTACTCTGATACCAAAGTCAAAGTAAGATACCATAAGAAAACTAGAGACCAATATCCCTTACGAGCACTGATGTAAACCTCATCAACAAATACTAGCAAACTGAATTCAACAGCATATTATAAGG